TCCTTTTTTTATTAATAAATAAAAGTTCTTTACAACAAAAAAGTTTAACGAACATATTACATTAAAAGAAAATCATTGCCAAATTTGGTGGTGAGATTCAAAATATTGTAACACGAAAATTATCGAGCATAACTTTCAAATTTAAAAAATCTATGAAAAAGAAATTGAGACAAATTTTTTTTAGATTAATAGACTCCCTTTTTAAAGCTGAATTGAATGGTGGTGGTTTTTTAAAATCCAGTGCGTGGATCACATAATATTTCAAAAATTTTAACTTTTGAGTATAGATGATCCGCACTGTATTACACTCGATAAGTCGGACATTTATTTATAAAAGTACTTTAAACAATTGATTGCTGCGTCCGACTTATCGAGTTTAGATGTGTATGTTACTATTTCCGTTAAATCGAGATTTTATTTCACAGTGTATTGTTGATACCACGTGATTTGATTATTCAGATATCTAGCTTTTCGATTTAGCGGGTGAATTTTTTTGGAACAAACGTATCTGTTAGATCGAGGTTCGCCGTGTATTAGCATTGTTACGACATGCGCGTTATTTAAAAATGCATTGGTTACTTACGTAGTACTAGGGTCGATAAAGTCAACTAAGACGACAAAATTGACAAAGTCGACGAAGCATAATGGTAAATTTGGTCAACAGTCAACAAGTCCTCTAATTATAAATCATGTATGTAAACGAATTCAATTTAATAAAAGAAAATAATAACAAGTTTCGGCTTGAGAAATAATCAAACCATGCCCAAAACTATTATTCTCTAGTAAATACCCTATCCCTTCTAAAAAAATTAATCGGCGACACATGCAATCCAAAGTATAAGAATCGACTTCATCAAATTTTCACTGTTCCTAATTCCTCATGAACATAGTAAAATACATAAATACATGTATTAAAGAGAAATAAAACTTTACAACAAATAATTTTTTGAAAAAATCTTTTCATCTAAAAACCTAACCTATCAATTAATGAAGTTAAATTTTTTAAAATAGAATAGTTTTTGACTTCTATACTTTTAAAAATTTAGCAAATTTCGCATCGTAGTAATATTTACGCAATACAAAATCTTGTACTAATTGTTTCAATTTTAACAGAACTTATGGAAATACTCTAACTTTAAAACCTTTCAGAGGCATTTCCTGAGAAACAGCCGGTAGAACCTATCTCTACCAAGTTGAAAGGTGACAAAGTCAGGTGATTTATTGTATATTATTTATTATCTCCTAATAAATGAATATGTTAATTTAAAAAATAAATAAATATATATTGTTAATATAAAGTGTATGAATTAAATGATCTGACAAATTTTAATATTAATTTGTTCCTTGACTATTATCACTGGATTTCCAATAGTATATCTAAAATAATTTAAAAAATATTAAAAATAAAATTCAATTAGTTGAAAAAAAATAATAATTCAAATAATTACCATCTGGTATAACAAGATCATTTTGTTTAGTATAGTAAGCTAAAAAAATAAAAGAAAGAAATTTCTTAAAAACATATATATTAATAGTAATAAATAATACACAGTGAGTATCGGTTTAGCAGTTATTAGACTGATTTGATTAGTAAATCCATTATATTGAGAGAATTTACTCTGTTAAACCGAGACTTTTATCAGGCATATAATAATAAACAAATTTTACCTTCTTGTTGTTCTAATAAATAAACATCATTTTATAGACGGTTAATAAATATTTAATAAATTAATGGGCGAATTAAATTTAAATATTTTATTAATAAATTCATACCTTGAGTAGCGTTTTTTGGAGAAGGAAGATTTGAAAAATAATGAAGTTTACTGTTAGCAAAATTTATAGTTACTGTATAATTTTTAGTTTTTCTATTACTGTTGTTACTATTATTGTTATCGTCATTATTGTTATCGTCATTGTTGTTATCATCATTGATGTTTTTATTATTGTTTTTGTCATTTCTTAAAGATTTTATTAATTCAGCAATATTTGATAATCTGTTAAAATTAGTTTTAAGGCTTCTAATAAATTTATATCTACTTTTGGAAGTAACTTTTATTTGTAAATTTTGATCTTTATTATACAAGTCTCTCAATATTCCTTTTGTTTCTATCCATAAAGCTTTTGCATCAGGTCTATTGTCAGGAATAGCATCCCAACATTGTTTTAGTAATTTTTTAAGTTTGTCAGGGAATTTATTTGGAATTTCTGGTCTTATTCCATTTAGGATATTTATTGCTAAATCTAAATCATCTGTTTTATTATAAAATGGTGGAACACCAGAAAATATTTCCCACATTATTACTCCAAAAGCATAAATATCAGATTTCTGCGAGTAATTGCCTTTAGCTATTACTTCAGGAGCCATATAAGGTAAACAACCAAATATGCCTTCAATTGGTTTATCTTCTGGACCACACAATCCCATATCGCTGATATAAAAAATATTTGCATAAGAATGAAGTAATATATTTCCAGGATGTAAATCTCTGTGAATAAATCCCAAGTTATGAATTTCATTAAGATTAAGCATAAGACCATGGATAATTTTAAGTTTTTTAAGTAAACTAAGTGAAGAATGGTTTTTAGCCATATATTCTCTCAAGTCGTACTTATATTGACTTAAAATAAGCATAAATTCATTAGTTTCTGGGTTTTTTGTTAATCCATAACAACCAATAACAAAATCTGAATTAATATTAATTTCACAATGTGATTTAACCTAAAAACAATTCAAAATTAATTAATAATATTATATTTTGAAATAAATTTAATTGTTAAATTTTAAATTTCAATATTACCTCATCTAACCATCTTGCATTTGTTTTTCTAAGTTCCTTAAGAACAATTGGATGATCTCCACTTCTTTCTAATCTTAACTTTTTAGAATTCCATTTAAGGTAAGGACCATCTTTAAAATTTGCAGTATATATTTTTGCATATCCCCCTTCAGTTTTATATTCAATATCACTAAACTTTTCATATGGTATCCATTCAACAATGTTACGTGGATTTAATGATCTTTTTTGAAAATTTTGAATTAATTGATCAATCTCTTCATTTCCTGATGTCCAACTATCAAATTTTTTTGTCAAATAATTTCTCATGCAAACTTCACAAAATGATTTAGCAATTACCATATTTTTACAATGTTTGCATTTTCTTTTTTTGCTGATACCATCTCTGATATTTCTCCCATCCATAAAATTATTTGCAAAATCAATTATATACTGCTTTTCAGATTTAGTATACGAATGAGTATAAAGAACATATTTTAAGCAAATTCTTATTTTGTTTTCTGTTATTCTACTAATATCATAATCAAGTAATACTTCCGATTTGAAAATACCCTCAAATATAGCGTCGTACCTCAATGAACCATCACTCATTACGATAAAGAATTTTTTTTTTAAAAAAAAAATTAGGGGATGGGAAATTAGTGATTATTATATAATTTTATTTACTATAAAAATATAAGGAAAGTAACACGATGATAATATCCAGTTCTAAGAGCCTTTTTCTTATCTCTATTTATTATAAATAAATATGCACAGCCGATCACGATGAAAAACAACAATATTAATATTCAAGCAATCGATGTAAATAATTATATAATATAAAGAATCTCGACGTTAAGTCGCTCCGAACGAATACCTTTTATGGTAAAACGGAAGTTGTGCATTGCAAAAAAAAGTTTTATGTTAAAATAAAATAAAAATAAATACAAGGGATCTTAGTGAACCCCACAAAAAAAAAAAAAAATAATAATTTACTATATAGGCCCATCGGTATTAATGGAAACGATCTAACATCCGATGAAAAAGCGCATTGAGAATTCAAAACTAAATAACCAAAATGGACCAAAACAAACATGTTCCCAATGTTTATCATAATACTTATCTGCATTCGATGGATGAGAAATAAGTTTAAAGGCGATTGGGATAGGTGTTGTCAAATGAAACTCGAGAATTCATACAAGATACTAGAATGGATTCAGCTTGAAAATTTAAATATGTCAAATATTCATTTAATGTTTGGAAAAATTACGCTGCAACGCGTATAATGGGCCCAATATCATATTATGAAAATAGCATATAGGACCGTTCTTGGGCTAAGGTTGTTCTAAAGGCATTTTTCGTGAAATTCATTTATTATTTGAAATCAGGTGAATTTCGATGAAATATTTTAATCATTAATCCAATTATTTTCAAATGCCAGGATTTATCTTATCCTTATAGGCTAATCTAGAGCCAATTGATGCACAAATGATTATTTGTTTATTTGTTTTATTTATTTATTATGTCCTATAAATAGCATAGTAAAGATTACCTAATTTTGGTAATTTGTTACAACTTCACCAATGAATAAAACAATTTTTAATGTAACGTGTGTTTTATCTACCAAATATTAGTTTAACTCGGGCCTTCAAAATGCTCCCGATCCGTCAGCAAGATTTAATCAATGTACCACTTTTATATATGGGTACGAAATCCTTATATGAATAGATGTTGATCGCTCCATAAATACATATATGTTTTGCTAATTACACGCCCTATGTGGCTTAGTTTCTGATGGTAAAATTTTTGTTTCAAGCTTTTCAATAGCTTCAGTAATTCTTTCACATGTGAAAAGTCTAGGTCTTTCTGATTCGCGTAATATAATTTTTGTTACATTACTTTTTTTAAATAAAAATTTGACTTATATTTTAAAATGTGTGAGCAGAACGTCCTATACAAAGGTGATGGGTAATAAATACAAAAGTGTTCCCAAAGAAACTGATTTTTCTATTAATGATTTTAGAACTTTAAAGTGTGTGTGTCATAAAAGAAATTTCCGAACGAATTAAAGGTCAATTTACAATTAGAAGAATTTTGCATGAAAATTTTTTTTCGTATTCCTTGAGCCAGACCTTTCATTTGGAGTGATGAAGAGTAAGTTTAGAATGATAATCTCAGGTCGTGTATAGAGAAATCCTGGAACAAGATTCAATGTTGAAAACTCTGGACTGACAGTAATGTAATAGAGTTTTTTTTTTCAGGTAAAGGATTAGGCCACTTGTGAAAATAGATGAGAAATGAATACAGCAAGCAAGCATGACGATATACAAATTCTTCAATCAAATTTGATACCTTTAATAAATAATGAGTTGAATAAATTGGATATTTATTTTGAAGATTATAATGCATCTGTTCGTGCTCTTAAAAACGTTCAAGAGTGGTTGAAATCAAACAAAATCAAGATTGGCCAAGTCGATCATCTGGCTTCAATCAAATTGAGATGGTTACAAAGACGAGTTTCCAGTTTGTTACCAATAACTTAAAGATCTTAAAGAACTTGAAACAAAATTTCTCGAGAAGTTGTTACGCGCATTCAGATACAAGACCCCGACAATCACATTAAAGGTTGCATGCAAAGTTATTAATAAATTTTAAAAACTTTATCCACTTTTGTGAATTTTTACCCACTTAAGCATATCATCTTAAATCTTCTTTACCCAGTTTTTAGCGTATCATATATCAAAAAATTAAATTTTACCCATTTAAGGATATATGTATGACCTTATTATTATAAAAGTTTGATATTATTAATATATCTATTCATTGGAAAAACTTTTATCTATTGAATTATACTTGTGGAATACAAATTAAAGGGATTAAAGAGATGAATGAAAATATATTGTATATACAACATATCTCTCCCCTATTTAAGTTTTATAATTCAATTTTTTGGCCAATGCTAAAAAGTGCCTGGTTGTTGTATTATAAAGAAATTCGGTAATTGGGCTGATCAGTATCAACATAGCACATTGTTAATGATACAAAAAAATCATTCGTACTGGTATATTGAACCTGATTGAAATCCTACTTGATCATCCGAATATTCCCATCAAAGCTGTAGAATAAAAGTGCTTAGCTTGCAAGTCATTGTTAGGTATTTAAAAAAGGTAAGATTGGAGGAGTATATTGAGAGTTCAATAGTTGATTCAAATTTTGATTTTAAAGTTACTTTCTCAACAAACAATAATTTTGACGATCCGTCTACGCAATAGTGATCGATCTGCAGGGAAATTTGACAAGAAAAACACTAACCCGCAACCTTTTAGATTTCAGAAAACGTATTTATGTATTTTTTATTGCCTTTAATTATGTAAAGAAAACATTTTTCTCTTTATGATGTGATGATTTTTGGAGTTTTTGTATTTGAAAAATCCGATTTTTGCGTAACATTATTATAAAAAAGCTTGTATTTAAATATTCTGACCAAAAATAAAAGTGATATATGAATATTATCACTCGACATTCAATTATTCGAAATATTTACGACCATTCGAAATTCAATTCATTACCAAAAGCCATCTGATGTGGTTTAATGATGGCAACAGAAATTATTTTAGCAAATCCGAAATAGTTTCTCCCATAAAAATTAGGCTCCTAAACTAGTGACGAAACTTAAAAATTGCCTAAGCCGTGGGAGAAACTCCCAAGCTGTGTGCGAAACTCCTAAGTTGTAGGTGTAACTTTTAAATTGTGGTTAAATATTTGATAAATAATAGGATTTGTCAGACATGCGACCTAGTCTCTTTCGTTTTAATAATATTCGTATTTTTATTTTATATTCGCATTTTACATTTAATATTTTTATTATTTATTTCTTATATACTGTATATATTTATTAATAGTTTATTTATTACTATTACAATCCGTCTATGAACGAGAGAATTTATATTCTATATTAATATCCCCATCACACAATAAATATTAATATTATAAAATCTTTGTGCAAAGATTAATCGTATCACTTACATTATTAACAAATCATTATTTTAAAATGACAATTGAATTTAATTGAATTTTGAAACTTGGCCATAAACGTGAAATAACCAAAAAGCTACCTTCGCACTATTCATAATAAATGCAATATAAAATCCATTTAAAAATATAAACTTTTCTTTACTCAGTATGTCTACCTTATTTTCAACTTCCAAGTTCCAAAGTATTAGTATTAGTATTAGAGAATATTAAAAAATTCTACATTCCCTATAAACTTTTTTCTCTAATACAAATAAACAAAAAAAAGTAATTGAGATTTTTTACATTTATGTATCAGTCAATATTGTAAAAAAAAATTTATGTAGTGGAACAAAAGCAGAATAATACACAGTTTTTCGCGCAAAGTTATCGGATTAGTCATCTTTGCGTTAATTTTCCCCCGTTGATCACAATGAGTAATTAATTTTTTTAAAAAAAATTTTTGAACTGTTAATTGGTTAAATAACCGATTAATTAGTTGAACAACTTGCGGATAATCTGGATTTTGCTGATTAGTTAACCAATCTCCAAGTTATTTAACAAAGTCCATTACACATCTGGAAAACAGTATCGAATATTATTGTGTGTATATTATCTGCTTAACCTTGATACTGTTTTCTGATGCAGAGTTAATAACTATAATGTTAATTATGGGAAAGAACATTTATTTACATCTTGGTTTAAAATTTATCGATTCTGACACACAGAGAAACAGCTTAAACAAACTCGCGCACGTTATCTAACCAAATTTGTTAATTATTTGGAGATAATCTCCAATTTTGTTAGATAACGTGCTTCGTGCACATAAATCATTAATTTATGCCATGTGATTTTATTTGTACCAAAGTTCACAAGCTCAAATGTTTTCAAAAGTTAAATAACCATCATTGCCAACACTGCTATGTACTCATTCATAGACGGGTCGTCAATTAATTAATTTTAAAAGAAAATATTGACATAAAATTATTACAAATAATGTCACATTGACCAAGTAAAATTTTTTTATCAATCAATTTTTGAAACAAATCGATTCTTTTTTGTTTAAATGAAATACTTTTGCGGTCGGAAATTAAACAGTATTAGCAGTGTTTAATTGTCCGTTTGGTTTTTGCGCGCAGTTTAGGAGCTTCGCCCACAGTTTAGACAATTTTAAGTTTCGTCAATTTTGCCAGAAAATTTTCATGGAGAAATTAAAGCAAATTTCTCTAAATGCCTAAACTATGGGTTAGTTTCGGCCACTATCACTAATGTATTTTGAATATACAAAAAGAGGGATTAATGAACGGAAACACTGTGGTAAAAGACTTTACTCTTGGAGGTAAGCATTACTTTTTTCATTAAATGGTAATTTTTATTGTACTCATTATGAAAAATAATTAGAGCTAGCACCAGCAATTTCTGTTGCTTAACTTTTTGTGATAAGAACTAAATCTATATATCCATGACTTAATTTGTTGGGAAGAAGGAATACTATTGTTGTTGATTTTAAAATATTAACGATTTTTCGATTTTTTTGCCAATCATTTTATCATTATATGAAAAATCCCTCACACTCTTATATTAATGGTCAATTTAAATAATCACTGGATTAAAGATATACTCATTTGGATAAGTATGGATCTTTTTTTATATTTTGTGTATATACTTTCTTTTAAATATGACTTATAAACACTTTATACGATATATTCATATATAACTTATGAAATATTTTGATAAAAATCATGTAGTTTTACCCAGAATTTTCATATGACTAGGATAAAGATTTTACCCACTCAAGCTAGATGTAACCTCTAATGTGGTTGTCCTGAAGGCCATTAATTCGTACAAAGATTCGATTTCAAGTGGTGACTTTATTAATATTAAATGCTTCCATCCACCAAATTTCTCTTTCAGTTCTGGATGTTTGAATGATAGTTACTCCTACTTTTTTTTCAATTGATCTGTATATACAATATAATGATGTATGTTGACTTTAGTCATTGACGTGACTAAAGTATTGACTAAGGTAGTTTCTCGCCAAGTCATTTTGACGATTTTACTAAAGTAAAAGCCTTTGACGTAAGTAAAACCACTTGAAGTAATTAAAATACTTGACATAAGTAAAAACGCTTGATACAAGTAAAAACACTTGATACAAGCAGCAATAATAAATAGTATTATCAAAAGTTCTAAATTATGTAAAAATGTGTTGAATAAAGAATTGTTATATCATTGTATGTATATTTGCAATGATGAAAGAATAATAATTATCATGGGAGAAATTTTACTAATTATTTTTTCTTTCAAAATAAAAATGCTTCTTCTTTTTTACAAATTAAATTATTCTTTTATTATTACATTTCATAAAATCAAATTGTATTTACATACATATGAGTTGTGTTAAATCGATGTTTTTTGACTTTTGAATTTAACTACGCGTAATAGTAATACGCAATAATACCAATAATGTGCTTGAGTTGTCTTTAGTGTCCGAATTTGAAGCAACATAAGTTAATCAATATCAGCGACCTTTACATAACACATAAAACAGTTGTCAATTAATCTGTTGGAGAAAAACTTTAGAAGCAATCAAAAAAGTTGTACGAAAAAATTGGTTTTTACATATTTTCAGTTCTCCGCAAAGAAAGGCAAGTATTTAAGCGAAAATGTAACGGTGAGTTTTGTGGAATATAGATTAGCATTACAGTGTGATGATATTCTGGCGTCATAATATTATAAACCACACGACTCAACCACATACATATATATTCGTTTGAGTATCAAAATTAGCAATAGATACAAAGTATCACATCCTATCATGTATTTATGATCAATGATGCATTCTTTAATAAAATTCATGGCTAGATGGTACACTGATTGATTAGTCTAATAAATTACAACAAAAAACATATATAAATAGACCTGCTACCCTCCTCAAAATGCAAAAAATGGTGTATTAGTTTTGCTTTTTACGTTACCTTCGAATTCGAGGATTGAGGCACATAATGATGAAATGGTGATCTATATATGATCCGGCTTTACACGTTACATTCAAATGCGAGGAATCTATGTACTCGTTCGGAGCATCAACATTAGCCAGTCATGTTTTATCTGTTGCGTTGAGCAAAAAATTTATTTATTTAAAAAAATTACATGTACAAAGGGAAATTTAATAAAAGATCCTTTGCAAAGAAGAATCCTCATGTGAATCAAAAGTTACTTACGAATTTCGATTGTTAAAAAAATCAACTAAGCTTTTTTTTTTCTTAATTAAAAAAATGATCTTTCCTTCTGTTTTATTAATTTACTCCAGATTAAAGGTCCATTGGATTTTTTTTTCAAGTCTATCGCTATAGAAGAATAAACTTCATGCAAACATCAAAAGTTATTTACTAATTTCGATTGTTAAAAAAAATCCCTTGCAAAGATTAATCAAATATTTTATTTGTTTTCTCCGAAAGGAAATTAAAATAAAAATTTTCCACGTCCCTCAAATGGTCAAAATCAAAAAAATTTGTACATATTGTTTGTT